TGCACTACCTTAAGGACCCTTAACTATGGGAACTATGGTATACTTCTTATAATGGGTAATGCAGGATTTATATTATCAACCGTACCATTTGGTCCCTGAAGCCATAATAAGTTTGGTCTTTTGGGACTTCTTTCCATAATGGTAGTAGAAAATGGAGCCTCTAGGTTAGGGCTTAATATAGGGTTGACTTGGGGTTCAGGCTTCAGAAGGGTTTAACGTTTTAGGGTTTAGAGATGATTAGGGCTGTTAGGGTTTAGGGTTTAGGGCCTACCTAGACCACCCGTTCGCATGTTTAATTACGTTTGTTTTGGAATGTCTTCAGTTTGGGTTTCAAGGGCATTTAAATCTCCGAACCCTATTAGCCCGCATTGAAAAATACATCCCGAATGGAAATCCCTTGGGCCGTGAAAGCTCAAGCTCTTGCTGTGCGTTGGGGTCAAGAACACCCAGGATGCGAAGCAGGCTGGGTCACCCGGTCGGTACTTTGTTTCAGGCATTTTCGAAAGGAGATACAATAATTTCAACGGGTTGTATGCTGTTTTCTCAAATATATATATATATATATATATATATATATTTATATTATATATATATACACACTGTAGTATTGATGACAGATGGAGTGAGGGAATGTGCTCGTCCCCGTCGGTGCTGACGATCTCCGCCTGCCACAGGCTTCGCTGCTCTCGATCGGTGGCCCGGGCTTGTTGTTTATTATGCTCGCTTGTGCACTGCTGAGGGGCCGAGTTTGTGCTTAAACATGTACGAAATCCGAAAGGGTTTTGGCTTCTACAGGGCGTGCTCAGCATGTTCATCATCTGGTATGCCATTACATGAGTGTGCCTATGTGTGTACGTGTTGTGCAGTGTGTTTGCGTGTTTTACGACTGAACCGTGAGCCATGCCATCAAACTCAGAGGCACATGCAAAGGAGAAGGGGGCGGAGGAGAACAAAGACAAGACACAAGCGCCTGAAACGCTAGCCAAGACCTGGAAGAAGCTACCAGGTATCGAGGAGCGCGGAGCATCAGGTCGAATCATTCTGGCAGGCAGCCACTTGACCAGACCAGATTTGGACGCGAACTGGGACATTGTGGCGGCTGCGATTGAAGGTCTTGGCTCCAGGCCCTCTGTCGACGTCTTGGATGAAGCAGTACAGCACTTCTTCTATGAAACCCGTCCCCGTGGAAAAGCACCTGTCCCAGGCTTCTCGACGTCACACATTGTGTTATGGAGTTTGTAAGCCTTGTGCTGTTGTGAATGGGTATGCTGCACTGCTTCAGAAACCGAGGTAAGTTCTGCCGCACGCAAGGATGGAGGATCAGAAATCTGATCACAATGTTCGTCAGGATAGCAAAACTTCCTCACCGTCCGTCTGAACCTGGCATTAGAAAGATCTACGAAGCTTTGAACATCCCCATTCCCCAAGGTAGCTTGGCCCAGCATGAGCCATACCATGTAAATGAGTGGCAGTGTCATGGTGGATGATACAGCAAGTTCTGAGTGGGTTGTGGTCCCAGGACGTTCTTCGAGTTCACTGCCAGATGTGGGCAGTGATGACGAGGATGCTGTTGACTGCGAGGCTGGGTGAAAGGAGGTTTTTAAGGGTGACTCCGCAGTCTTTTGAAGTCAAGCGGTCATGTGTTCCTGTGGTCAGAGCCAGGGTGAATGTGGGGAATCTGAGATGGGCACCGATGATGAGTGCGCAGAGGCTACTGCTGTGCTGAAACACAGACTCACTCGCAGAAACTGGTTCGAGTGAGTGCATATGAGGTTCATCCTGGGCTGAATAAAGATGTAATGGGCCCAGAGGCCCATGGCGTCGAAATGGGATCTGGTGACTTCTATGCAGGTAAGCTTTGACTTTTGGTTTGGGCAAGCAGTTTGGAATCGGACTGCAACCAAGGAAGCGCGGCCAAGGCTGCAGCGGTGTCATGTGACTTGTCCACCCCAAGTCCCCGCCCATTGCAAAGTGTGTCGCCCAGCAGTGAAGCCAAGCAGACACCGCCAAACAAAAGAGCCATGCTGCAAGCCTTGATGGAGCATCGGGATCACCTCGAAGTGCTGTTGAAACTCAAGAAGCAACGGATGGAACAAACAAAGATGAGTGGTCGCGAGTCTCGCAACTTGCACGCATGTGGTCATTGCATATCACGGGAGTTTCGATTACACGCGGCGTCGGCATTCTTGTGTTGATGTGGCACAGCTTGATATAAGGTTCCGTGGAATCCCAAGACACCCTGCCAATGGACAATGGTCTTGCTGAAGTTGCACTTGAGGCTGCAAAAACTGAGATTGCGAAGAAGGAGCAGCAGCTGTGGAAAGCTGCTAAATCTGAGCCTGCCCAAGGGTCCTGCCCGGCCGGTTTTCAGAAGCGCGACCCGGTTGCTTTGAGGACACAGGATGTGGTTTCGGATGGCAAGCCTCCGCAAGCCCCGCCCGCGAAACGAGTTAAACACCAGCCAACGCCACCGGGCCAGCCAATCAAGAGAGAGCCATTGGGCCAGGCCCCCGTAATCAAGAAGGAGCCGTTGGGCCAGCCAATCCAGAGAGAGCCATTGGACCAGCCACCCAAGAGAGAGCCATTGGACAGAGGGCTTGGTGTAGATCATCTAGATCCAATCAACGCCCGAAGCAAGCGAGAGCCGTTGTTGAAGCCAATCAAGAGAGAGCCAGATGATGACTGGATGGGACGGGTGGGTGTGAAGACGGAGAAACCCTGCACACCTGAGAAGCCTGCAAAGCCACCCTGCGCACCGGAGAAGCCTGCGGAGCCACCCTGCGCACCGGAGAAGTGTGCGGAGCCACCCTGCACACCGGAGAAGCCTGCGGAGCCACCCTGCGCACCGGAGAAGTGTGCGGAGCCACCCTGCGCACCGGAGAAGCCTGCAACCACGAAGGACAAGGTCGAGGAATCTCAGGCCAAGGGCCTGGAAGGCCAGACCGATGGCCACACTTCCGGGAGCCTCCCAGGCAAGGAAAAGCCATCGCTTTTGTCGAGTGCTGCAGTGTTGTCTCCTGCCGAGCAGCAAGCCCTTGCGAAAGGTAAGCCCACAAAGCGCAAAGGCAAAGGCAAGCCTGAGCCAGATGAGGATGGTGAGGGTGCCGATGGGAGTGGGGATGAGGCTTCTGATGCAAAGCCGAAGCGTGGCCCAGGACGCCCGAAAGGTTCCAAGCAGAAGCCTGCGGCCCCTAAGGCCAAGGCAAAGGGAAGAGCGAAAGCCAAGGCCAAGGCCAAGGCCAAGGCCAAGGCGAAGGGAAAAGCGAAAGCAAAGGCCAAGGCATCCGCGAAGAAGAGAGACGAGAGTGAGGAGCCCCCCAGCAATAGCCAGGATACCAAATACTATGAGCAACCAGGTAAGCCAGCTAAGCCTATGAAGTCTCAGAAACCGGAGAAACCGAAGACACCCATGAAAGCCATGAAAGCTGCGGTCAAGAAGGGGGTGGATGAGGAGAAGCAAAGAAAAAGCCGCAAGTCCTGCGCATATCATAAGACCCGAACAAGCAAGATCAGGGAGGGCTTCTCGGAGGAAGAAGCAATCAAATTGGCCAGGATTGCTACCTGCCTGCACCATATCTGAGAACCAGTGTGTACTTCTCTAGATCACCTTGTGCAAACATACCTCGCTCAGGCTTATGCTGAGCAAGACTGAGTTTGCAGAAGCTGCTGGGGAGTGCACAACAGGTTGTCAGCCTGTTCTGGCTGTCTTGGGAGCATCCACTTAGTCTGGGGTCATGTGGGTCACCCTGAGGCAAAGCCTCCATGTGCCACAAATCCAAGGGGTTGCCCAGTGTTCGCGCAAAAGATACCCGAGCCGATTTTGCATGCATTGCAAATGCAGTAGAAACATACACATACAAACAATCTCTGGCATACCTTTGCTTCCCACGCCAGGTGTTCCATGCGTGGACCTTTCCATCGACCAAGCTGTGACAGACGAGGCCACCCAAACCTATAAGTTTGAAACGTAGAAGCCCTACCCTAATCTGCCCGGCAGGTGTTTCTGTCCTGGATGTTGGCATCGACTGCAGCCACTGTGACTGCACAGGCCACCCAGAGCAAGGGGCAGTTGAAGGGGTCTTGTTTCATGATTTTCGAGGTTTCCGCAGTATGTGTGTGTTTGTGTGTATATGTATGTATGTATGTATGTATGTATGTCTGTCTGTCTGTATGCATGCATGTATGTATGTACGTATGTATGTATGTATGTATGTATGTATGTATGTATGTATGTATGTATGTATATATGTATGTGTGTATGTATATGTGTGTGTGCATTGTATGGTCTTTCTTAGTTTCGTAGGATGTCAGATATATGTGCAGCTCAACCATGCCCTTTAAGTGGAGACTCCCAGATGTGCCTCGGCCTTCCTCACACAGGTGTCCTTCAGCTCCATGGCGGAGATGTGATTGGTTCTCCTGAGGCCATGCTGCTGGCTTGCCAACAGCGCAGACACAAGTACACTGCTAGATGACATGTGGTCTAGCTTGATTACACACAGGCATCGATACAAAAATGTTGTTGGCAGGTGAGGAATGGCCTGGGCACGACGTGCTACTGCTGCAGGCAACCGCGCTCCTCACCCTGCTCTCTTCACTGATTTCCACCTCCCCAGCCTGTGTTGGGGGTGTGCTGCAGCTGTGCTTTTGACTTGCAACTCCTCTCGACAATGCTGTTGATACTCATCAGAGCCTTGTTCAAGGGCTTTCAGCAACAGGCTGATTTGATCCTACGGCGCCGACTGGTGCGGTGGCGGCCTGTCCCGGTTCTTCCATGTTTGTTCGATTGGTACAAGTGGGCGCCCCCAAGGCTCCATGTATTGCAAATACCGGTTTGTATTGTTTGCAATGTTTCTGATGCTGAGTGACTGTGCAATGGCACCCAGGTGCTGATCGGCATAGTTCTTTTACTCTCCTGGAGCACGCAATTGCCGAGGGCGAAAACCTTTGATTTTCTAGATCTTTTCGCAGGACAAGCCAATGCTTCTGCATACTGGTGCCACATCAGCATGTGAAAACTGTCAGCTTGTGCTCTAGGTGGTTTTCTGCCTAAAGACAAATCTTCCAAAGCCAAGGCGATCCAAAGGTCACACCGTGGCCACAATCGACATCGAACGAGGGGCCTGCATGGACTTCAACAGTGACGCCGGCTTCGCGAAGCAACCTCAGACAGACGTTATGGGTTACGGGCTGTTGTCGTTCAAGACTATGTGTTCCGACTTTAGTCACGCAAGGCTGGTCATGTGGGTCATCATGCAGCAGACAGTGAACTCTGTCAATCTCATCGGGCCATCGTGTTCTTCATGGGGCTTGCCTAATCGCGGGACAAGCATGCGCAACTTTATCAATTGGAAAGGGAATGAGCAGTACCCCTATGTAGCTGATGCAAACCGGATGGTGAGCCGGAGCTTCGGCTTCAGTGTGCACTTGTGTTTCTGGTGCATGTCACAGTAGCATGCAGACTGTGTGCGGCTGTGACACTAAGGGTTGTCCTCGCGATATTGGTCATCACTGCGAAGCACGCCACATGGATACTGGAACACCCCATCTCCAGCTTGGTTAACCGTCACGACCGCTGGGAATGGCTTTGTAACTCCGTGCTTCGTGTGGCACGCATGCATTACCGTAACAACCTTTATAAGAATTAGTTCCCTCTGTGTTTGTCTGTCCGTCCGTCCGTCTGTTTGTCTCTGTCTCTCTCTCTCTCTCTCTCTCTCTCTCCCCTCCTCTCTTTCTCTCTCGTGAAACAAAAGAAATATACTAATCCAAAAGAATTTAGCTTGTGCATAGTGGGCTCATCATCTCCATGTAAACTAGATTCAGCTTATAAAACTTGAGTTCGTGATGAATCACACAAACCTTAGCTGCTCCGAAAATCTGAAAGTCATTGCAAGACTGAAGCACTATACAACCGCTAGCCGCAAATAGTAGCAAACTTCAGTAAAAGCCCGAGTGTACTCTTCACATTTATAACCATGGAATCCCAGTAGATCCTATGCTGAGGTATTTCGCCAAAACTTTTGGGTAATGCACTGGGGTGCTGCATCGCCGAAGCGAACGATGATGTTCTCTAACTCTCCGGCTATCAAAGAGCTGGATCGAGGGGTCCTCTCAAAAGCTCAGCGTGCTCGCTTGGGCCAGGCCAAGACTGTACGACAACTGAATGCATCACTAGCTTTGTGTTTGTCTCTACGGTTTCTGATCCCGCTTCTAGCTCTGTTCAATCTACACAAGGACGATACATCAAAGACGGCCGCTCCCTCTTCGTGGGAACGAAGGATCTGAAACCTTCTGGGTCACTAGGCTTGCGGGCCCCTGTGTCCAGTCTATGCAGGCTAATATAGTGGAAAAATCTAAATAGGGTATATATATATATATAGTATAAAACATCCTTTAGGTGTTGTAGGGTTTATATAGGGCTTATACAATATATGGCTCTGGGGTTTCTATAGGGTTCTTTGTTTCAATATTACAACAACCATACGGAAGCCCAAGCCAAAAACCTTCGCACTCTGAGGATATATCCTCTGAAGCTTGTCAAGAAGCTCTACAGCTGCTTTGTTGAGCACCCGGCTGCAGAGTCGAGGGTGCCTTTGAGAGCCAAGAACAGCGTCAACCCCGTCCTCACAGATAGACAGATCTTTGAGTCTATGCCGTTAGGGGATGCCTGGGAAGATGCTTCGGTGGCTTCGGTATATTTCTATGTCCGGAAGGGGCGGTTTCTGGTGATTCCTGACAGCTGGCAAGCTACTATTGACGATTTTGACCGGGCCCTGCAGGAACGAGTAGCTTCGCTGACATTAGTTTTGGGAACAATCGGGCTACCGTCCTGCTTTTCTGCTCACACAACAACAGTATATCACAGCCGAGGTCAACTGCTTTCCGGAGCTGAGAGCCCAGTACAATTCCCTAGTTGGCTAGCAAAGACCGGGTTGTGGTCAGTTGCGAGGTAGTATACCAACAGAATAAAACAGTTTGTCTGAACGTCTGTAACCGTTTCTGTGAATGTCTGTTGCAGAAAGTTATAATAACATGAGGCCCAGCCCACCGCAGCTTTCTTCAGCTATCAACCCACACCACCGCGGATTATCATGATGCTCGGTTTTGGTGTGCGCAGCACACATGTCAATGATGTGGCCACTTCGGAGGCCTAGTTGCGGCCAAAATGCATTCTGCCAGATGCTATGAACATCTGGCAAAATGCAGGTTGAGAAATGCACTTGGTCCCTGATGGCGTGGGGTGGCCTCCCAGCCCCCCACACCCAACCCCAGCTGATGCTGCTGATGCCGGGGGCCAACCCTAGCTGATGCTCATGATGGTGTGCAACTGTTTTTCCTAACAAAAACAGGACACCTTCACCGGCCCAACCCCAGCTTATGCTCATGATGCGGGTTGGCGGGGCGGTGGGGGAGGGGAGGGGAGGCGAGGGGAGGGGGGGGGAGGGGAGGGAGGGGCGGGGATTTTGAAAGGGAACAGGAGGGGCAGGGGAGGGAGAGGGAGGGGAGGGAGGGCCGCTGTAGGGGTGCAGGTTGCTTACGTTCCTAGATTTGGGGCCGTTGTAGGGGTGCAGGTTGCTTACGTTCCTAGATTTGGGGCCGCTGTAGGGGTGCAGGTTGCTTACGTTCCTAGATTCCTTTACGGGGCAGGGGGCAGGGGGCACGGGGCAGGGGAGGGCAGCAGGTCAGTAGAGGGGCAGGGTGGTTGGGTGGTGGGGCCAGGTTGCATCCCGAATGTTTTTTGCACCTCCCGCACGTTTTTTGCTTCAGGGGTCAGGGTGTGGGGCCGGGGTGGCCGCAACACGCGCGCAACTTCGCGCAACACGCGCGCAATTTCCCGCAACACGCGCGCAATTTCAAAATCCATGCTTTTAGCATTTTGGCCCGAATGTTTTTGGCTCTGCACGCGTGCAAACTACCTCGCACTGATTATGACCGCTGAGTCTGTATAGCTTCCTTGCTGAATGATTCGGGGCAGTTCGCCAGGAGTGAGAGTGCTTCATCAGTCGGCTAAAACATATCACGGGTTCTGCCCGCGGCTGCGCGCAGGATCAGCGTCAGTTCCTGTTTGCACCTCCATGACTCTGTAAACAGGTTCTAATTGAGGGCAATGGTTAGTCTGCAGAGTTTGAACGAGGGTGTAGCCATGGTGGCCAGATCATGGAGTGATTTCTCTGCTTTGCCTGATGATCAAATTGATGAACAAATCAAGGTGCTCTATCTGCAGAAGCACTTAGGTCTTATTTAAACGTGGTTGAAGTATCCTGTCCGTCCCTGATTTACTGCCTATCCCAGGCTGCTGAGAAGAACATCGAAGATCTGCGGAAGGCTCTGCAAGGGGCTGAGGCAGAGCCTGTTCCCGAGATGGTACGAGGCGGCCTTTTTGGAACTAGTATAAAGCTTATAAAAACCCTGAAGTGGTAAGGCCCGCTTGTCTACCCCGCTAAGTGCCACACCTATACCTATGGAACATGATAAGGTTTGTTCTATAAAGGTTGCGTCTATCTCTGTATGCATGCATGCATGTATATGTATGTATGTACGT